CCTCCAAGGATAATTCTCACCAAGTAAAAATAATTTCCAACAGAAAATTGTCAAAATATACCCAAAAGTGTTGTTTCCCTATATAAACTATAGTAAACTTTACCCCCTCCCCAAGGGAGAACGGATAGCTCGGGGGTCCTGAAATTTACAATTTAAATAAAGCCCCTGATGATCTTTCCATCTATGCAGAGAAAATGACTGTAGTATAGGACTCTGAGTCTGAGAAAAAGATTTTTGAAATATTGGTTAATTTTCCCTTTTGGGTCCTGCCCTGGCCCCTAGAATTTGGGTAGGAATCCCAATTTTACAATTTGGTAGCAGGATTACAAGATGTCTATCAAGGATGATTCTGACCAAGTTTGAAAAATTGCATCCACTGGTTCTAAAAATATATAAAATATAAAGATATGATGATTAGGTACAACTCAAAAATAGGTTGACTTTCTTTTCCTTGAAAAATACTTTGTAGGAACAAGTACAGTGCCAATCTTGCACTTGCTTTTCAAGACATAAAAGCTGAGACAATTATCTGGTAACCATGGGAACACAAGAGAGAAAAAAGATCACATCAAGTGGGGATCCTTGTAGACACAGGTATAGTCATGGCTAATAAACAAAAAGGTATGTCAACATGGTTACTTGACTCCTGGGACCAAACCGAGGCTCCGTACAAAGGAAGCAGGGGGATTCTATAGGTAGTCATGCAGGACCCAATGATACTGTGAAGCAGCAGGGATCAAAGTGAATGTATGAGTACCTACAGAATAAACGGGGCCATTACACCAGCCCTGTGTAGCTTATACAAGGGTTTGAAGTGTAGCGTTTCAAACACACTATCCCTGTAATAAGTCGAAGACAGACAAAAGGCCGGATAGTTCAGGAGACAAGACACGAAAACAAAATAAACCATCTTGGATATAATGGCTGCTTCATAACGAGAAGCCAACTTTGTACCTATCCCCCTCTCCCCAGAGACCAAAGGGACACAATTTGTCCTCCGTCACAAAGGCTAAGTTCTGATTTATTTTCACATTATGATTGAATAATTCTTTTTGCAACTGATGAATAAATATCTCCGTCATGAAAAATGAATGGCTTTGTAGGGTTTGGATGAGTTTGTAAACTGCCTTTGAATAGGAGACATATATGCAATTATGAAGGTCTATAGATGGGTTGGTCTCGACACATGGAGGAAGTGACATTTAAATTATTCTGTTTTATCAGCAATTTCAATTTCAAAGGTTCTAACTTAACAGCTATCAACACCAACACGACTGCTGATGTGAAACATGTCCCTTTATGCATAACAAGCGTGCTGATCCAGGAATACAACCTCATCTCCAATGGTAGGACATATTTGCTTAGAGCCAATTAATGACTACGTGTTAGGTTTTTTAAGGCTTTAATGACTTTCTTTCCAATATTTTGCTTTTTAAACTTAAAAGACTGTCTTTCAAATATTGTACATCCTCATTTTCTGTGTAAAACATTTCCAAATAGACTCACTGAACTGACTCTAATTGAGTAAATTTAAATGATTTGATCCCAATTTCTTGTCAAGAAACTTGCCAACAAGAGTACACCTGCGATATACACATATATTTTAACAAGACATAAAGACAGGTTACAAAATATCTTCCATGTTTATATTTTATGAGATCTTTGGTAGAATGGGAGTTGATATTTACCACTGTATGGAATTGTCACCTTATAACTCTACCAAATTTAGATGGAATATTCTTTTCAGCCACAAATGCCATGGGCCAAAGGTTGACCCGATCATCGTTATCATGACGCCATGATACATACACTTATTGGAACTTAATGCTTTTGAAATATTAATTTACTTGAGATTAAATGTTTGAAAAATTGTAAATGTAAGTATTAAAATCTTTTATTTAGCATTCATAGCCAATATGAATGTCAACTGCAAATGACAAATTCAACATGATCACTGAAAGAGTTTTCATGGAATTCACCTACAAGTTCATTACATCAGATTTCCAGGTTTCTGTCGAATATTCATAGAATAATCGCTGAAAAGTTGTTCAGTGATAAATTTCGATACAAAGTACTATTATAGTAGTATAGGTCATCTGAAGACTGACTTTCCCCTTCAGAAGGCGGTCCAAAAACTTTGTTTTATGACCAACACATCATTCAAACCTGTTCGTCTTGCCAGTTTCACTGTTTTACCTCAAATGCTTATAGAAGATATCCACGACTAAAAATTATCAAAAATACTTGCCGTGTAATCATGTAAATTGTCTCTATTTGAAACCTGTAAGTGACGCAGCTGACACACAGCGGAGTACAGAGCCCATTTATTTCGTCCTATCTAAGCATCCATAGAGCGTTAAAAGCTTGTGGGACTTTTTTTCTCTCGCTGAATTGCTAATGCAGTAAATTATGACGGAGCATACAACACATGTTTACATTTACCAAGTCAGTAACCACAGCTGAAAATTGGCCGATTTTGAAATATATATTTAACCACTTATTATGTACCCATGTTGGATAACTTTCATCCCGTGTTGTAGATATTATCTGTCCCGACGTTACAATAGAAAGCCATCACTTGATACAAAATGCATGAAAGAATATTGCTGGGCCACTTTCAAAGTAGCCCAATTTTGTATTTAGTGCGACACAGCTGTTGACAGTGCTTTTTCTAATAAAACTCGGTGAGATCCTTGTAACCACCCGTAGTCCTGTACACATTGACGACCACCATTGAGTCCTCATAAAACCATTCAGTGCCTATCATTTTGTGGAAGGGCTTTCATAGCTCATCACAAGAATCCCCCACCTGTACAAAATGAGCTGGCTTTCATCTTTTCATACAGGGTGCAATAAATCATATCCCGAGTCTTCATGATCAATACTAGAAAGATAACGTTTATAAAGACGAACGAGCATAAAATTGAAATTTCTCCGATCCGTATCCAATAACCTTATAATAGTTATGAAAAAAAGACAGAAAATGTTTGTTAGAAAAACGAGAATGTAAAGAAATGAGGTTAAGTAAGTGTTGAACCTTAATATTTGAAGTCCTTTTTACTGTCATCTTTTGCTCACAAAGTCTTTATTAGGTGAACCAAGTGACCTTTTATCACTAAGCAGGCTAACTTTGTTACTATGAAACAATCTTGTGTATTGGTATGCATGTGAGCTTATCTAATTGTTTTCCAACAATAAGTACCCTTTTTTAATTTTGATTTTTTTTTAACAATTGTTTTAATTTACAACCTTTATTAAGCAAATCTTTGTTTAATATTCAAATCCTACGAAATTGGTGTACATGGCACATTGACCACAACCTCAGAAAATCATTACTTCAAGAAAAGTCAGGTAAATTTACAGTATTGAGAAGGCCTACACACAGCATTTTACCTGGTAACTAAGATATTTCAGATTATTTCTTCTGCTAAACTGCTATGTCTGGACTCACAAACTTGCATTGTACATTAATTGAAGTTCCCTTATGGATACTTACCGAAGTTGTTTAATGTGATTACGCTCCATGTTTTCCTGAACCAGTTCCGCAAGTTCCTGCTGCTCCTCGCAGGTCAGCTGTATCCTTTTAGTACACGTCTGTCCCGAACAAGTTCCTTGGTTGACTCCCTGACCTTGACAGGATGTCTGGCTGACACCTTGACCTTGACAAGATCTCTGATTACCCCCTTGACCTTGGCATGAAGAATTGTTGACCACCTGACCTTGGCAAGATGTCTGATTAACTCCTTGACCTTGACAAGACGATGAATTCACAACTGTCGATGAATTCACAACTGTCGAAGACTGCCCTTTATTTTCATTGTTGCACTTAATCGGCATTTGAACATGAGTTCTTGTCAGATTATTCAACTTGGAGAATTCTTTTGATTTAGGAGAGTCTTTTGATTTTGAAACTTCCTTCACTTTGTCTTTCCCACAGTCTTTCACTTTTAAAGGTGAGGTCCGGTTGCCTGGCAACTGGGAGCCATCGTGTCCCACCGTCAGACGTAACTTGAGCGTTTTGGTTCCGTTTGAAGGTATTTTGATAGATGACCCTACAGCATCATACAGGGCCTTCAGCAAGCTGGCAAGATCCTGAAATGGCAGTAACAGAGCAGGTTAAGTAAACAATTACGTCACAAAATACCACAGGGTACAGATGTGCTTTGTGTGTACAACATCCAGATGAGGATACTACATTTACATGGAACCCATTCCAAGGTCATGCTGTTATTAATCAATGTTTGTATCACCACAGAACATGAAATGACTTTCCAAAATGCTAGCTGCACACAATAACATGTAACTATGCAAAATATGTATCTGCTTGAAATTTAAAAGCAGTTGAATTAACCAACATTTTCGCAGTTGTTATTATAATGTTCAATGCTGGAATCCACATAGCCAGTCCTTACCACAGATGTATGCACATACATGCATACAAGCCTGCAAGTTTGATAAGTTCTGTTAGATCTTTTTTCTTTCTGTCTGTGTGCGGGTCAGGACAACAAACTCCCATCTCCTTTCTTGGAGATCTGACAGTAACAATAAACTGGCCAAAACACTGACTGTTATCACAAACACAGAAAGCACTGCCCTCATGAAATTTGGTACACATCACCCGGTGATGAAAATCAAAAATAATTTGCAGAGGCTGGAAGGCTGCCCAGTACACACTAACGACCTGGAACATGGGGGCTGCCCTCTGCTCTCTACTTCATTGATGAGCTTGGAGTTTCATTAACACTGTGTTGTTTAGATTTCACATATTTTTTTAATTGTTATCTTTTACAGGAAATTTCAGACTTCACATATTTTTGTTATTCAGACATGTGTATGTACCATACCCTTTGAATCGTTTATATGAGCTGGACTTATTTCGGACATGTAAAAACTTTCACTCTTTTGAACACCTTATTAAGTAAACATTTGAGTATGAGCTCCAAACAGACCTTATTCCAAATTTATCAGATTTAGATATGAGAAAGCACTAATGAGGAATTGAAAATTCTCTTTATTTTTTATTACATTCAATCACTTGACTTCTAAAAATCCTTATCAAAATGAATTATAGACAATTGTCATATGTTGAAAAGCACTTAATTAAAATAATTAAATATCTTTTTTTCCCTAATTTTGTTTATATTTTCAGCAGAATACTTCAAAAGCACCTAGGTATTTAGTAGTTTTTGGTATTTTAATGAGACACTCTGCTAATCCAATTAGGCATATGATCTTTCCGCCATATTTCCCAAGTTTTTTATTTAGACTGTCCCGTATCAGATTTCTCATTAGTAGAGGGTGGCATATATTTTGTGTTGAAAGCTAGTTGAGACAGACAAGTTTCCCGACAGGTCATGAGGAGGTGAAGTTGAGCTATCAGCAGACTGACCAATCAACACAATATACCTATCATCCAATCATAGATCAACATCAACTGAACCTACGACCAATTGACCACAGTGGAACATCAACCAAATAACCCCCCAAAAACAGAATCTTCCTCAATATTTTTTATTTTTTTATTTTGGAAACAAGCCAGAATCAGATAATTTTCAAATGACAACCTTTTGTTATAAAACAAGAAGGGAGACGGAGGAGTAGGATGGGGCTAGGTTATAATTGATGTACAAAATATTGACTTTATCAATGTTTAATGCAACACACTGATTTGACATTGCGTCACAGCTCCACAACAAATGCAAGGCTAATCATAATAACAATATTATGTAAATTGCCATTTAATATGCAAACTGACACCCTGGCAGGAGAGTGACACCTTTACACTGTTGTATATTACAGGTAATACATGGTAAACACTCGGGGATCCCGTACTAGGTGATGCCCCGATTGTTGGCAGTGTTGTACGTCTAGCATCTGTCTCCTATCACACATGGTCAATGGATGCCATATAACAATGGCGTGTCAGTTTTGTGTTTATGGTCTGAATATTGCTACTCCTCTAAAAAAACATCCATGAATCATATTTGACAGTCAATATTCATTGTCTGCTATCAGTAACATGTACAAAAGCTGTCAACACGTTCAATATGTGACTCGATTCTCCGTAATAGTGCAGATTTACCGTACTGTCTCCACTTGCCTGTCCTAATGACGCACTGTTAGAGCTTTTCTAAAGACACATACACTTTCTAACATCGTAATATTTTAAGTTCAACAAAATTTTATTTACAACAATTGGATTGAACATCAGATTTAAATTAAAGCCTATATTCTCTTTATAATATTTTTATTCAAAATAATCGAGTATAATGACATATACACAGTCCCTCTACAACAAAGATATTTAGAGTGCTTTGTAGCCTATTCAGTTACCGTATGAGATGCAACTTACAGAAAGACTCTAACAAAATTGGTACATTGTAAAATATTTAACTAATTTCTGATCTGAACACATTGATTTTTATATGAATTTGTAAACAATGCCAAAAAGGTAATTATTTGCCCCCCTGTAGCTAACTGATGTTGGTATATCACACACGAAATTCTAATTTAAACTTTGGCATATTTCAGCCATAATACTGAAACTATTTACTTTGAGATTCAGAATGTTTTTATCTACAGATCCAAAACTATGAAAAAAGCTTTTGATATCTGTTTATAATAGCAGAGTTATTGACTTCTTCAGTTATCAAAACCTTTGAAGGATTGCGCTGTCAATACATACCTCTTTCGTAATCTTGCCATGCCCATCAAAGTCGTAGAGAGTAAATGACCATTCCTGTTTGTTGTTGTCGCTGCCACCAAACTTGACCCCACACTCAAACTCCTGTAACATAACAAAGCATCAGTAATATAGTGGTACAATACCGTGATGAACCAAACTAGATGGAACTAACTATAGCTATTTTATGCAGACAAATTTTCTCTAGAAGTGTACACTGGGATTTTTCCTCTTTTAAAATCATACATATTGACATTTTTTCACCATTTAGAAATTGCAGCATGACAGCAATTTGCCATGCTTTAGTGGCCATGGTTTTGTGGTCTCTTGGAAAGCAAATATCATATTTTGGTTTCTCTTGTAAAATACCTGTTTTCTTTTTCACCTGAGTCATGTTTTCTTTGTATTTTCTGTTATTTATTTCTAAGAGAAATGATTTTCTGACACATTTAATGTTACGTACGAGTTCTGTACAAAAAGTGTGATCGCTGAAATACTCTCCCTCTATATTGAGCCAATCTACCTGGTATTGTCATTTCAAACTTTATGGATAATCCTTTTTAGCTTTAACTTTTATTTTGCTCTAAATAGGGACTGGACAAAATACATGATACATTTTATGAGTTGAAACAATTTCAATGTGAATGTTGGACTTTTTTAATTGGTGATAACAATGGTGGATAAAACTGGGAGTGTAAAACCAAGGAGGCTCTACCAATTAGGACCAAACAACAACTTCTTATCTGATAAATGTCCTTGACTATCAACACAAAACACATAACCCACAAAGAAACTGTCTCTGTGCTCTAACAATCCCTGTTGATCCGAATAACAGCCGATGAGAGACACTCTCTATGATAGCTTATAGCACCCGTCAGCTTCCAAACGAATGAATCGGAGGTGATTATCCTAGCAAAAATGTCAGATACCCCAGCAAAAACGTCAGATACAAGTCACATACCATTCGCTATCTGCCCCCTATCTGATAGGAGGTATCTTCGGACAGGTAGACCTGAGGGAACTCTTGGTGGGTCGAAGACTTGTAGCCAGCCACTGAAGCCATTAGTCATCACAGAGATATATCATACTACTCCCAAACTGGAATGTGGACAATCCCGGAACACAGCTGCTACACTACCTCAACTGGTATTTCCTCAAAACAAATAAAAACTCCTAGCCACTCCAAGACAAAATGTTTGTACAGACCCTCCAACAGTCATATTCTATTATATAGCCATAACTCGGGGAAGATCACATTTCAACAATGATGTAACTTCTGTAGGTATATTCCTACAGTTTGATACATCAGTTTGATACATGTTAAATGAAGTAAGGTTTACATGTCATGTATTATCAACAATGTAATTTTATGACATGTGTTGTTTTTACCGCAAAATACAGAATAAAACTCTGTGGAGTTTCAATTACATTAGAACAGACTGACCGTACGGTAATACTAACACTTGTAGGAGTTGGAGCCCTCAATAGCACTTTCTATGTACTTAACAACAGAACCTACACTTCATGATGTTTTCACTAACAACTGATATGAAATATACTTAAACATTACAAATTCAGATTGATGTTTATATAATTTATTATTGATGTCAGGGGATTGATGTCAGGGGATTGATGTCACCAGATAGATGTCACAGGATTGATGTCAGGGTATTGATGTCAGGGGATTGATGTCAGGGGAATGATGTCACCATATAGATGTCAGGGTATTAATGACACAGGATCGATGTCAGGGTATTGAAGTCACCGGATTGATGACACAGGATTGATGTCAGGGTATTAATTACGCAGGATTGATGTCTGGGGATTGATGCCAGGGTATTGATGACAAAGGATTAATGTCAGGGGAATGATGTTACGGGAATGATATCAGGGGATTGCAGTCACAGAAATGATGACACATAAATGATGTCATGGAATGATGTCACAGGATTAATGTCAGGGGAATTATGTCACAGGAATGATATCAGGGGATTGATGTCACAGAAAGGATGACACATGATTGATGTCGGTAATGAAGTCAGGGTATTGATGAAACAGGATTGATGTCAGGGGAATGATGCCAGGGTATTGATGACAAAGGATTAATGTCAGGGGAATGATGTTACGGGAATGATATCAGGGGATTAATGTCACAGAAAGGATGACACATGAATGATGTTGGTAATGAAGTCAGGGTATTGATGAAACAGGATTGATGTCAGGGGAATGATGTCAGGGTTTTGATGACAAAGGATTGATGTCAGGGTATTGATGACAATGGATTGATGTCAGGGGAATGATGTCACAGGAATGATGTCATGGGATTGATCACACAGGAATGATGTCATGGGATTGATCACACACGAATGATGACACCTGATTAATTTCTCAGGATTGATGAAAGAAGAATTATGTAACAGGAATGATGACACAGGAATGATGACACAGGATTGATGACACAGGATTGATAGGATTGATGACACAGGATTGATGATACAGGAATGATGACACACAGGAATGATGACATATGATTGATGACACAGGAATGATGACACACAGGAATACAGGAATGATGACACACAGGATTGATGACACACAGGATTGATGACACAGGATTGATGACACAGGAATGATGACACAGGAATGATGACACACAGGAATGATGACACACAGGAATGATGACACAGGAATGATGACACATGAATGATGACACAGGATTGATGATACAGGAGTTATGTTAAAGGATTGATGATTCAGGTTGATATCAGGGGATTGATGCAACAGGACTGATGGTCACCCTCCCTTTCTAGTCCTTTTTCCTATATTACCAACAAGCTGTCATTCTCTTATCTGCAGCATGACATCAGTAATCAGATTTCAAAGTCATCATTCCACATTCACGTACTCATCAAATACCAGCCTGCCTTAGAATACCCTGAATCCTGATACTTAAATCATAGGTCTAAACGTAACGGTCAATGAACAGGTATGTGAGTGGGAAGCTAGTCCGGTAACACATGATTTGGCTGTGGTTATATGCTGGTGTTCAGTTGTACAAAGGAGAATAGATTATTGTATTGTTATTAGTAACACAACACAAGTTACACAATCAAAGGGCCGTCTCCTTTGACAGGAATAACATGAAACAACCAGCCTTGTCATAGAAGAAGGCAGATGAAAAAATCTGGATATTTTCTGTTTGTTTAAAAATGAGATGATTATTTGATTGTGATAATGCTAGGATCATCTTCAAAGGGAGAAACAAGAGCATTCAGAGACCATTACTTACATAACAGTCACCAGCTGGTAGGCTCAACAAATGGAACAGATCCTATAAAATCCTTTTGAAATATGAAATGTTTTCTGTGAAATACATCCCATTGAATATGTGACATTAAACAAAAAAGAATTAATTCTGTTCACATTTCTGTGTGAAAAATATCTTTTTTACTGAATGAAGTATGTGGAAATTCTTTTGTGTTTAGTACTCTAACATTGATGTGCAGATACACGACAAACGTTTACCAAATCAAATCATATGTAGGTAATATAGGATCGGGAGACTGCAGACAACTGACAAATACATTTATTGATATAATTTAAACAGTCAAAGTATTACTATTCATGGACATTATTAATGAATATTCAATTTCATTTATTAAAAATTCTGTAAATTTATCGAATTAATTAAAAAAAATAAGTTTGATAATAACAATAGAAAATCTGTTATAATCTGCTGACACAGTACATTCCTTTGTCAATAAGGGAAGTAGGAAGGAAAGAGTGAAACACAAGCTGCAATAATTTTCATTTATCTTCGTACATATTAAAATGAAAACATTAGCTCTGTAAATCTATTACTACAATTAACTCGCGAACTTGCATATACAGATATTTGAAAATAAAGGTTATCCATTCTAATCTAACTATATATTTCTCCCTATATATTAAAATGCTCCTTAGATCATTTTAACTGTAAAAGCCTCCCCCTTTAAATCATGACCGGGGTGCAGAAATATAGATACCCTAAAAGGCTGTGTGGGTTCCTAAGTACCCATCCATCATTGATGATAGGGTAGGGGAAGCTACCTTTTAAGCCATCAGTCACAAGAATGGTATTCCTGTACACAATGTTCCTGTTTAACGAGGAGTATTGATGGTATCGCAAGGTTCAGAAACCCACAAATATTTCTACAAAAACCAGTAAAACATTTACATTAAAAACATCTCCGGTTTTAAACGCTATAAAGTCAGGTTATTGTGGTCTATATGTAAGAACATTAATTGTGAAAACTTAAAAGCCTGAACAAATGCTAGCACCTATAACTATCTGCCATTAAACGTCCATTAGATATTCCGTACTATAATCGTTTTGATATGAGGAGAATTTCGATCTGGTAAATGAAATCTGTGGTAGTAATAAGTGCCCATGATGGATATAGTGAATACTTTTATACTTCAAAGTTGGAAGATATGTGTAATTACCCTGAATGTTTAACTTTAAAAAAACTTTATATACACATTTCAAGAAAAGTTCTACTTATTTAACTCAGCTTTAAAACACCCCGTTTTTATGGTACAACATTAATCAAAGATTTCTTTGAGGTTTACTAACATTTCCGTAAATATGTCCATGGGAAGCATCGATTTAATAAAAGTACAACTTCAGTCGAACAAACAGTGCTTCAATTGTAATTCTGACCTAATTATGTCCAGGTAACATCAATATTACAGATGAAATGTGCTCAAATGGTTTGATGGTCACGCAATGTGGCTAACGGTTATCTCTGTCAGATGTGCTCTGAGAGAAAAGAGTATTTCATTTTGCTGCAGGTGTGTTTTAGGCTACATATAGAGAAGGTATTTTGTAGGCTACATAAACAGAAGGTGTGTTGTAGGCTACATATACAGAAGGTATGTTATAGGCTACGTATACAGAAGGTGTGTTGTAGGCTACATATACAGAAGGTATGTTATAGGCTACATATACAGAAGGTATGTTGTAGGCTATATATACAGAAGGTGTGCTATAGGCTACATATACAGAAGGTGTTTTATAGGCTACATATACAGAAGATGTGTTTTAGGCTACATATAGAGAAGGT